GATACAAGACCACAGGATCCTCGACAGATCAACAAGGGTATGCTTATTCCCATAAGTCACTGTGAGTGATAGTTATTGAAAAATCATAAAACAGCCTTGTGTAACCTTTGATTTGTTTTCTCTCCAAAAGATTATAAAGAAAGTGTCTTTATAAAGAACTGTTGAATAAATATTCTATAGTTATGAAAAACACATAATTGACAGAGTAGGTCTAATGAATAAGAGTGCAGGTAAATTATATCATATCCCATGGCTCTCGGTCACTATGCAACACACAGCACTCCACACTGCTCACTGTACTAAAAAAACATCTCTCTCTCCCACACGGGAAAATGGTAAACCAAATAGAGGGCTGCCTCTAAATTAAAATGCAAAACAGAATGGAGGACTAAACTGAAATATGCACAATCATATTGTGGAGTGGAAGAGGGTGGAAATGTATTCAGTTCAGTGATTTAATAGTACCTACACACAGACTCATACATACATCCATGTCAACAAGAACACTTTAATATACACAGACATACTCTTGTATTACATTTAAAGGCACCTAGAGTAGAAACCCATCTCTGGTGTACAGAGGAGAGCTTTTAAAAGCAGTTTGTGTACTTATTACTGACAAGCTTATTTTTTTGACCCAATAAATCTGGCTTTGGTTTGAACACCCTAAGTGCCTGGAGACTATTCTTCTGTTTGCCTGTGCGTTGTGGGATTGCTGGTTCTGCTCCAGTGCACCTGATGTCTATTGGAATTGAGTGTGGATCCTCTCTTCATTCGTGTATGCCAGGGCTGGTTTGAAGTCACATCCTGGCACCAAGCATCAGAACTGGTGTATTTTGAAATGGTGCTGCCCTAGGCATGACAGATCTGGGGCACCCCCTAATTTACATTTGCCCACCCATTCCTGCCAAGGCCACACCTCTTCTTGTTGACACAAATTTTGACTGACAGACACACACTCACGGACCAGCACACACTCTCAGATACACGGACATACACACATACACTAATTTGACACATACACTCACTGATTTGACACAATCTGACAGACACATACAAATCAAATTTATTTCAACCCACACCATGCTGGTCTCCCCTCGATTGGCCCTGCCCCTATGGCGGAGATCATCAAGCTGTGTGTCTTCGCCTGCTAGTGAGTGATCTTGCTTGCATGTGTGTGTGTGTGTGTGTGTGTGTGCCTGCTAGTGAGTGAGCTTGTGTTTTTAAGTCAATGAGCTTATGTATATCAGTGAGATTGTTTGTCTATGAGGCTGTGTATCAGTGAGCTTGTGTGTGTCAGTGAGCTTGTATATGCATGTGAGTATGCTTACTGTATAATTAAACATTACTCTGAAAGGACCAATATTTTATATTAGAAAAAGCAATATATATATATATATATATATATATATATATATATATATACAGTTGCAAGAAAAAGTATGTGAACCCTTTGGAATGATATGGATTTCTGCACAAATTGGTCATAAAATGTGATCTGATCATCATCTAAGTCACAACAATAGACAATCACAGTCTGCTTAAACTAATAAAACACAAAGAATAAAATGTTGCCAGGTTTTTATTAAACACACCATGTAAACATTCACAGTGCAGGTGGAAAAAGTATGTGAACCCTTGGATTTAATAACTAGTTGAACCTCCTTTGGCAGCAATAACTTCAACCAAACGTTTCCTGTAGTTGCAGATCAGACGTGCATAATGGTCAGGAGTAATTCTTGACCATTCCTCTTTACAGAACTGTTTCAGTTCAGCAATATTCTTGGGATGTCTGGTGTGAATCGCTTTCTTGAGGTCATGCCACAGCATCTCAATCGGGTTGAGGTCAGGACTCTGACTGGGCCACTTCAGAAGGCGTATTTTCTTCTGTTTAAGCCATTCTGTTGTTGATTTACTTCTATGCTTTGGGTCATTGTCCTGTTGCAACACACATCTTCTGTTGAGCTTCAGCTGGTAGACAGATGGCCTTAAGTTCTCCTGCAAAATGTCTTGATAAACTTGGGAATTCACTTTTCCTTTGATGATAGCAATCCGTCCAGGCAAAGCAGCCTCAATCCATGATGCCCCCACCACCATACTTCACAGTTGGGATGAGGTTTTGATGTTGGTGTGCTGTGCCTTTTTTTCGCCACACATAGTGTTGTGTGTTTCTTCCAAACAACTCAACTTTGGTTTCATCTGTGTACAGAATTTTTTGCCAGTACTGCTGTGGAACATCCAGGTGCTCTTGTGCAAACTGTAAACGTGCAGCAATGTTTTGTTTGGACAGCAGTGGCTTCCTCTGTGGTATCCTCCCATAAAATCCATTCTTGATTAGTGTTTTACGTATTGTAGATTCGCTAACAGGGATGTTAGCATTTGCCAGTGACTTTTGTAAGTCTTTAGCTGACCCTCTAGGATTCTTCTTCACCTCATTGAGCAGTCTGCACTGTGCTCTTGCAGTCATCTTTACAGGACGGCCACTCCTAGAAAGAGTAGCAGCAGTGCTGAACTTTCTCCATTTATAGACCATTTGTCTTACCGTGGACTGATGAACAGCAAAGCTTTTGGAGATACTTTTATAACCCTTTCCAGCTTTATGCAAGTCAACAATTCTTAATCGTAGGTCTTCTGAGAGCTCTCTTGTGCCAGGCATCATTCACATCAGGCAATGCTTCTTGTGAAAAGCAAACCCAGAACTGGTGTGTGTTTTTTATAGGGCAGGGCAGCTGTAACCAACACCTCCAATCTCATCTCATTGATTGGACTCCAGTTGGCTGACATCTCACTCCAATTAGCTCTTGGAGATGTCATTAGTCTAGGGGTTCACATACTTTTTCCACCTGCACTGTGAATGTTTACATGGTGTGTTCAATAAAAACATGGCAACATTTCATTATTTGTGTGTTATTAGTTTAAGCAGACTGTGATTGTCTATTGTTGTGACTTAGATGATGATCAGATCACATGTTATGACCAATTTGTGCAGAAATCCATATCATGCCAAAGGGTTCACATACTTATTCTTGCAACTGTATATATATATATATATATATATATACACACACAGTGGGACATCGGTTTACAAATGCCTCGGTTAACATAATTTTCGGTTCACAAATGAAAATCCATTGAAAATGTCTCAGTTTACAATTTATTTTTTGCAATACAAAGCAAGTTTCCCCAGGATGCATTGCACCTGGGAGGTTTATAACACCGCCCCCTGCACGCTGGAGCCTGTGGGTAGCAGGGGGCGTAGAGTGTGGAGGTGTTGGAGCGGCTTTTGCATCGAGTTTTGGAGCCATTCTGGAAATTGTTTGCAGTTGTTTGGGGACTTTTTGGTGAATTTCTCAAGCTGTGGAAAGCTAGGGAGCTGAACTTCGTCGTTTGCTTGCCTTTTATTGTGTGTTCTGCATTGTGAGTTGGTTTCCATGCCAGCTCATTTTGACTTTTTTCTGTCCTCTAGAACAGATTAATTGGTTTTCAATGCATTCCTATGGGAAACCGCATTTCGGTTTACAATTTTTCGCAATAAGAAACGTCCCAGAGAACGCATTGCATTCGTAAACCGAGGTCCCACTGTATATATTACTCAATCATCTGGGGTGGCAAGACATAGCCTTGCATATTACATGTGACAATATATGGCACCTTATCTTTGCTTTATTTTTGTGTTTGTATATGATGTTTGTATCACACAGCTATGTTACATTGCTGCCAGCCACCCCATGTTTGTCTTATTAAGAGTTTAGAAGTATGTAGGGGCAGCACCTCTTCCTGTCTCAACAGAGAAATTTGCCTTTAAGCTGATACCAGCATGGTGATGTGTATGTTTTATAGCCCTATTTAGGGTTAAAAAGTATGTAGGGGTTTATAAAACACCCCCTCATGTCTCATTAGAGATGTTTACACTTTGATATCAGCAAAGTTTATTGTATGTGTAGAAGCCTTATAAAGGGTTAAATGTGAAAGGGTTTATAAAATACCCCTTCCAGTCTCATTGTAGATTCTTAGCTGATATCGGCAAATTTAATGGCTAGTGTAGGACTCACCTTTTGGGGATTGCCTTGACGTGGCAGGTGAGCTTATATTTAAATGGCTATTGGAATAAAACTAAAGAGCCTCCATTTTGTTTAAAGAAACTTACACATTTTATCTTGAAATCAGTACTGTTGTAAAATAGCCCTGCAGGCTTATTCAGTTAACACCTACAGCACTTCAGTAACCAAGAAAGCAACAAGGAAAAGTCACCAGCTTATGTGGGGGAGCTGGAGGTCTGCAGGAACCAGTATATTCAAATCTGAAGTGGGATGCAAACTGTGGGTCTTCCTCCATGAAAAGCCAAAACTGTTAATGGATGTTCCCAGGCAAATCTAGCATGATGACTACACAGCAAATCTATGGTGGATTTCCATTCCCACTGTCATTTCATAAATACAGGAGTGCTTTGGCATTTTACTTTGGTATACCTTTCTTTAAAATGGCTTCTTTTGTTGTAAAGTGAGATAACACCCCTAGGTGAATACTTGTATAACAAAAAATATGTATGTCAAAATATAACACACGTGCTCCCCCAACAGATAAAATAAATAAAAATTATTTTACCAGATGTAAGATTGTAAGAAGACCCCTCAGACCTTCTCAATACAAATACAAAAAATACAATCTACAAAAAGAATAGAAATAGAGAATATATAGTGTAGTAAATTTGAACACCAAATTTTACACTAGTGGAATTGCACTCACAAGATGAGAGAGTAGTGAAGGCATATAACGGTCTTTAGACTTGACGGACAGCTGTAATCTTCTAATTTCACCTTAAAGAGGGAGAGACACACAAACCATAGTGCACCAGTATAATAAAAATGATAACATTTATTTGATTGCACTCACAAAATAATGGTTGTAATCCAGCTTGTCAAAAATACTTGGGGAATAATGGTGCCGGCGTCCTTTTCCCCTTGGCAAGTAATGACAGGATAAACCAAATTAAAAACCAAATAAAAACATATAAATAAAAAATCAACAATAGCAGTAACAAGGTCCACTACAGCACCTTGTTACTGCTATTGTTGATTTTTTATTTATATGTTTTTATTTGGTTTTTAATTTGGTTTATCCTGTCATTTACTTTCCATTACTTGCCAAGGGAAAAAGGACGCCGGCACCATTATTCCCCAAGTATTTTTGAGTTGTGAATGTACCACAATAGCGTTCAGATGAATTGTTCTTGAGGCCACCAATAATACACATGACAATTCTGATGCCCAAACTGGAAAAAGGAGATGGTATTATTGCTAAACGGCAAATTGTAGATATTCAACAAATTCTAGGCCCACAAAAACCCATGATAGAGATTTCTTTTTTACTTTATAAGTAATAAAGAATAATATTTCAGGCAGTTTGGCCCAAATTCTGCAATTTCTTCCTTGATTCTAAGTTCAGTGCAACCAACAAATGATTTCCATGTGCAAACTATGGCAATATAGGACTCTAAATATATTTAAATATATCTCTGCTTTATGTCATATACATGTTATTATACAGATGGATGTATTAATGCACTATCCCCATCTTTGCACATTCTGAATTTTTTTGTAATACACAAATTATTAAACAAGCAGGCATACTAATATAAATATTGGAAATAATTTGTAAAAACAAAATATTGTAATTTAAAAATGTAATTTTTTTTATTATTTACATTTTGTTTTAGTTTTGTTCCTGTGTAAAAAAAAAAAAAAAAAGCCTAGAAACTATACTGTTCCCTGGCCATACTGTAACCCATTTAAAAGCAAGTATCACACAATGTTTCCACAGGTAGTTTATGCTGTTTATCGATCGTTTATGAAAAGATTCATGATTTCTATTGATTATTGAATAGTACACTTTTGCAGAGCATGAAGCAGGAACAAAGAGATTTTCTACATATTAAAAAAACAAAAAACTACATTTTAGAAAAGGAAAACCACTGTCATGGTGATTGTAGATCTCATCCATTAGTATGATATAGAAGAATAGAATGAAACACCGAATGAAACACATGTCCATGCTAACAGAAATAATATATTTCTAAAAACACCACTATATATACTAAAAACACCACTGTAACCAGTTAGTAAAAACACCACGGTTACCAGTTAGTAAAAACGCTACTGTAACCAATTGGTAAAAACAGCACTGGAACCAGTTAGCAAAAGCAGCACTGTATATACCTCGGGTAAATGCACATTCACTAAAAGCACTACTGTACTTATTTACCTAAACACCAGTGAGTCCTTTACTAAAACACCACTATTCCTAGTTACTAAAACATCGCTGTTCCTTGTTACTACAAACATCAGCATATATAGGTTAAGTGTACCCAGTTTCTAAAAGCACAGCTATAACCATTTCCTAAAACACCATTATACTAAAAAAGCAGGCTACTAGTTTACGAAAACCACCACTGTGGCCATTTACTAAGACGTACTACTGTATATAGTTTACTAAAACACCACTCTCCCACTGGGGTAAGAGAGCACAATACACGCTAAGGATAAATAGACAAGCTGACAGTACTATTTGTGTTTATTGTTATGATGTACTACGTTACACCTCCGTCGAGACCTGCCTGTCTCATTGACCCTCTCAGTTTAATAGGGACCTGTGAGTCCCAATTTGTATTTCTTGACAATTTCTTCAAATAAAACACAGAAAGATGTTTACAAAAAATAAAAATAAAAAAAACACTACAGCCATTTACTAAGATACCACTGCATCTATTAAAACACCACTGCATCTATTAAAACACCACTGAATCTATTAAGAAAAACAGTACCCATTCAAAATATAAATCATATAGTGTGTTAATTCATATAAAGTACTTAACTACATAAAGCGTGTAGATGTTCATAGAAAAGAATGACAATGTCAAATACCAAAGTGGAGCAACCTAACTGCACTACAGTAACATAGCACACACTTTAGCATACTTTTTGGTGATTCCAGAATTAAAATTTGGAACTAAATAGAAGATAATTTCATATCTGCTGTTATTAGGTTGTTTCATATATTTTTAAAGTGTAATCATATTTATTTGGTACACTTTATTTTCTTTGCATTCAAATGATTGGGTAATTCATAAATGAAAGTGTAAATATAGGTCACAATAACAAAAACATCTGTATTATTGTTTCAAAAGGTAAAGTTACCAATCAGCAAATAAACCTTAAAAGTACAATCTGATTTAAGAGATCCTAGATCACAAAAAGCCACATTGTTACGGATTCAGACAACTTACCATTGTTTAGCTGTGAGGTCTTTCTCATATTATTACATCCAAATTTAGCTGTCATTTTCAACAATGCAAAAATGAGGAAAGCATTGATTCCCTCGGCAACATCATCACTCCGTGTCCTCTTCAATGTCAGGATCAGGTTTTTCTCTGCCTTACAAATGATGTAACCAAACATAGCAGTGTCTAATAGCACCAGACAAACGTGTTACGGCCAATCCCTAGCTACAGAACCTCATTAATTACATACCTCACGTCATTACAATTCACATGCAAATTACAGCCTAAAGAATCTGCCCATCTTTCTAAGAGACAAACTGTCAAGCACTCAGGTTCATCTTCTCCACTACTAAGATGTATTTTTAGACAAGCAGAGAGCTGGTTTCGCACCTTGATAACAAATATATGTTACATCCAGTGATGCCTAAACATGTTGTGATGATTTCTCAATGGTTTTTCACTAACATTTAAAAGGAAGGAAAGCTTTTATGCTATGGCAATGAATGACTGATTAAACAGCACTGTGGAAACTGTGTCATAAAATGCTTAATACAGTTCTAAAATATGGACAAAAATATTTTATCTCTATTATACATTAATGTTGTTATAGAGAGGATTATGGGGCTGGGAGTGACATGATTGGGATTGATTGTAATGAAAGGGTTGTATGGCCGAGCTTGATGTGATTAGTGATTGGTATTGTGAGTATTATGGGGAAGGCATCAATGTTGTAAATGGGACCTAAACCACCTAGACTGGTAATCAATGTGTTGACCACATTGCCTCTTATACATGGATGCTACTGAAAAATACATACTGCACAAATGCCTATATAAGATGGTGATAACTACTGGAGGATCAATGAACATATCACAGTGTTTTGTTTTTTTTTAGCAACCACCTTGAGGTCAGTGTTTCTCAAGCCTACCAATAAAGTATGCATTTTTTACAATTAAATTTAACTATGCATCGTTTGAGAGGCCTTGTATTTTTGTGTTACACGAATACTACAATCTAAATTACAGTTATCTACCACATTTCATACTAAAAAGGGAGGACTGAAACACATGGAGGGGAGGGAGGACTGGGACAAACCGTATGAGAGAGGAAGTGGGGGGACTGGGACACATTTAGGGGAGAAGAGGGGAGGAGGACTGAAACATATGGAGGAGAGAGGAGGGGAGGGGGGACTGCGATACATGGAAGGGAGAGGATATTGACACACTAGGAGGGGAGGGAGGTATAGACTATACAAACTGACTTGCAGGAGGGGAGCGATTCCTCTCCTGACGGTCACCTGACGATCGCCCCCCTCCCCCTGTCAGTACTTCCTAACAATATTATTATTATTATGATATTTATAGAGCGCCGTCAAATTCGGCAGCGCTTTACAATGGGTGGACGAACAGACATGTAGTTGTAACCAGACAAGTTGGACACACAAGAACAGAGGGGTTGAGGGTCCTGGTCAATGAGCTTACATGCTAGAGGGAGTGGGGTAAAATGACACAAAAAGGTAAGGATAGTATTAAACTAGTGACAGTTGCAGAAGAGGAATCAGTCAGGAGCTATTTACAGTTTAATTGATACGCTTTTATGAAGAAGTGGGTTTTTAATGATTTTTTGAAGGAGTGGAGACTGGGTGAGCATCTAACAGAGGAGGGAAGCAAGTTCCACAGGAACGGTGCAGCCCTCGAGAAATCTTGAAGGCGAGCATCAGAGGTGGGAGTACGGACAGAAGATAGACATAAGTCTTCGGCAGATCGTAAGGGCCTAGACGGGACATACTTGTGTATTAGGGAGGATAGATAGGTGGGAGCAGCATTATGTAGAGATTTGAAAGGAAAGCAAGAACCAGAATTTTAAATTGAGCTCTATATTTTATAGGAAGCCAATGTAGGGACTGACAGAAGGGTGGGGCATGGGAGGTGCAGGCGGACAGGAAGATGAGCCTCGCCGCCGCATTCATTATGGACTGTAACGGCGCAAGTTGGGAGCACCTAAGACCACTGAGAAGCGGATTACAGTAGTCAAGGCGAGAAAGGACAGTGGAATGGACCAACACCTTAGTCGCATCTGGTGTTAAGTAGGGGCGGATGCGCGCAATGTTTTTGAGATGGAAATGACAGGATTTGGCGATAGATTGAACATGAGGCTTGAAGGAGAGGTCTGAGTCAAAGAGAACACCTAGGCAGCGAGCCTGCGTGGTGGAGCTGATGGTAGCACCGTTGACTTGGAGGGAGACAGACACAGGAGTAACAACACTTGAGGGAGGAAAGACCAGAATTTCAGTTTTGGTCAAGTTTAGTTTAAGGAAGTGGGCAGCCATCCAGTCAGAAACAGCAGAGAGGCAGTCAGAGACACTAGTCAAGAGGGACAGGGAGAGATCAGGAGAGGACAGGTAGATCTGCGTGTCATCTGCATAGAAATGATATTGGAAGCAAAGGAGCTAATGAGTTTACCAAAGGAGGCAGTATAGATGGAGAACAGTAGGGGACCAAGGACTGAGCCTTGGGGGACACCAACGGAGAGGAGTTGGGGAGAAGAAGCAGAGCCAGAGAAAGAAACATTGAAAGAGCGCTGGGAAAGGTAGGAGGAGCACCAGGAGAGAGCAATATCTTGTAGACCGATATTGCGGAGGATGAGAAGAAGCTGTTGATGATCAACAGTGTCAAAAGCCGCAGACAGGTCAAGGAGAATTAGGATACATTGGAGACAAATGACAAATACAAAAATGCATAAAATATTGCCCACTCTGTTTGACGAACAGTACCATGTCTACGTTTTTGTTTAAATTATGACTGTGACAGTCCACT